AGCAAACTCCTGGATTCATTCAACAAATAGTTTTTGAGTCCTTTTCACATGTCAGATCCCCATTCCCACTCCTACTAGAGGTTCATTCTGGATACAACTGCAAAAAAATGCACACGCCTCAGCCTTCATGATCATTCTAGTGATGGGGCAGATGGTAAATGATGAATAAATAAATAAACACAATAATGTCAGATGATGGTAAATGCTCTAACAAAACCAACAGAGGCACCTCTCTGAGAGGAGCAGTTGTGGAGCAGGAAACACATTTAAACAAGGTAGTTGAGGAAGTCTCTCTGAGAAGGTAGCATTTGAATTGAAATCTAGGCAAAAGGTCAGCCACAGAAACATGTGAGGGCAGAGCATTGTATGCAGAGGAACTGCCTGTGCAAATGTCCTGAGGAGGGAACGGGTTTGGCTTGTTCGAGAAACAGAAGGAAGGACAGTATGGCAGGAGTGAATGAATAAGAAGAGGGAGAGTGGTACAAGATGAGGCCAGATAGTTAAGTACCTCCCAAAGTGCCTAGAAATCATGTCAGAACTTTCATTTTTGACTATGCAAGCCATGGAGGAGGAAGGTTCTAAGCTAACGCTGACAGAAAGTGTTTTGTGTTCTCAGAAAGATCCCTCTGGCTATGTCAAGAACAGATTCAAAAGAGGCAGGGGCAAGGTGCACACAGGGAAGCCTGTTGGAGGCTATTGGGTAGACAAAACACGAGATGGAGAGAGGCCACCATGCCTTCCCTGGCCCACGGTGGTGATATCATGATGGACAGGATAGGGCAGAGTCAGGGCACACTGGGGGACACAGTCAAAGAGTCAACATAATTTGCTTGTGGACTGGATATGGGCTATGAAAGAAGAAAGGGCTGGAAGGTGTTAATTGGCTTGAGCAGTCTGCGTAGACGGTTGGAGCACTTCCTAAGACGGAGACTGGGAGGAGCAATTTCAAGAGGGAAATCAAGAGTTCTGTTTGGGTGGATTAAATTGGAGATGCCTGTTAGACAGAAGGCAGACGGACAGATGTCTGGAGTCAGTGGCCAAGGCTGGTCATACAGGCACCCACACACACAGACGCCTGTACATAAACTCAGAGGGTTGGGGAAGACGCCTGGCCCTCACAGGGCTGTAGACTCTGACTCAAGGCTGCTGAAAAGACACTGTGCCCCTCCCACCTCCAGGCTGGGGAGGGGGCTTTGGAACGGTCAGGATGTCAACCGGGCCTTCCTCCTGGAGATCCCCCCACCCCCCCCCCCCCCCCCTCCCAAGTAGAGGCAGCCCTACGTGAGGGCGGGGGTGGAGGCACAGGTGGGTAGAGACTTCTATGGGAATAATAACAATGGTAATAACCTCTGTTAGGAGACTGCTTATCTTGTTCTTGAGCTTCTTGATGAATAATCATCATCTCAAATTCCTCACAGACTCTGGGAGATTAGCAGTGTGGGGCCAATGGCCCCATTTTACAGATGAGGAAACTGAGGCCTCAAAGAATTCAGCAACACCTCCAAGGCCACCCACATGATGGGTCCAGGACTCAAACCTGGGCCCTCTGAGACTGATGTGACTGCATTCTTCCCAATATTAAGCTGTCTGCCTCCAGAAAGGTCTTATTTTCAGAGAACTAGCAGGATGGGCTTTGGAGCTAAACTGCCAGGGTTCAAATCCTGACTAGTCAACCTTATTTCTATTTCCCATATAAAAAATAAGGATAGTAAAAGTGCCCACTTTGGAGGGTTATTATGAGTGCTAAGAGAAATGATACTTATAAAGTGCTTAGAACAGCACAGAACATTCCATAGAAGTGCTGACTACTATTGTTAAAATTACATTAATCTATACTGAACAGTCTAACCGAGAGACCTGGGGGTGCTTAGAACCTAGAGGGAGAACCCAAGCCCCTCATGTAACAGGGAAACTGAGGACCAGAGAAGGGAAGAGGGTAGCCACCTAAGCAAACTGGGCCCATGAACCTGGCTGGTGGAAAAACTCTTTTTACTCTCTGAAAGTCACCACCCACTAGGCTATTTTTTTTTTCTTAAGGAGTCAGACTTCCAAGCTTTCTATACCCTTAATTCATGTGGAATTTCTGCTCTGGGCTTGGCTCCCAGGAGGAGCCCCTCCACCCCTTTATGAAAATAGAGTGGAGTCATTCGGCAAAACCTCAGCCTAATGCTTTTAAGGAACTGGCAGGTTGAAATAGGAAACTGTTCTAAGTAGAAACCACAGCAACAGCACATGCTTGCGGCTGCCGGCTGCTGCCTGCATCCTTGCCCGAGGCCCCGGGGATAGGGAAGATGTTGGCCACGCCACGTGAAGGGGCCTCAGGAGCTTGGCCCTGGTGCTGCTGATCGTATGTGGCCATGTGACAGCAAACGCCATGTCTTGTGGGCATGATATTTTCAGGTCAAATCAAGGTGAGATGGTCAGATGGGCTACCAGATTTAGAAACATGGAAGGCTAGTGTTTGAGCAAAATTGCCCTTTTCTTTGCACACCCCTCGTGTTGTTATCTGTTGAAACAGAGGCCCAGAGAGGGGAAGCAACTTTCCTAAGTCGCCCAGCAAAGAGTGATGAAGCAGGAAAAGAGCTTACATCTTCTAGTACCTAATTCTCTGCTCTTGTGCAATACTCATTCACCCTGTGGGTCAGAAGACCAGTGTTCAACCTCATCTCTGCCTTTTCTTACCTTGGTGATCTTAAGCAAGTTACTTAACCTCTGTGTGCCTCGGTGTTTTTTGCTGTTGTAAATAAAATTGGGTATAATAAGACTACTTATCTAATAGGATTGCTGGAAGGATTCAATGTGATAATCCAAGTGAAACTCTTGGTATGGTGCCTGACAAATGGTAAGAGCTTAATAAAGTTTTTATTTTTAATGTATTAAATACCTAGCAGTAGCCACTTTCCCCCCAAAATGCTCAGTCAAGTGGGAGAAACAGGAAAGTAAATTTTGATATATTACTAAAAATGTGTTGATAGTAGAAAGCAGGATGCCATGACCCAGGTGAAGGTCCTGACCCCACAGAGCAGGCAGACCCCAAGAAGAGAGTGGGCCAATATTTGCCAAACATGTGTTACGTGTATAGATCAGAACCCAGGTCCAGGGGCTTCTTTCCACTGCTATATGTTTTTTTTTTGTTGTTGTTGTTGCTTTTGAATATGATGTCTTCGTTTCCTAGGAGAGGGGACATGTTGCACAGACCTATTCTTTTTGCCTGCTACCTTGACTGTCTGGCTAGTGCTGGGATGCCATCTGAGGCCAAAACCAGAATCTATTTCTTATGAAGCACAGCACAAAATTTAGGTTCCAGTTCTACACCTAAAAACACACTTAGTGTGGTGGTAGTCGGAACAATGCCCCTTCCTCCCCACACCAAGATGTCCACATACTAATCCCCAGAGCCTGTGAATACATTCTTCCACCGCTAAATGGATTTCACAGGTGTGATGAAGTTAAGGATTTTGAGATGGAGAGATTATTGTGGATTATGGGCCCAATGTAATGATATGGGTCCTCAGATACGGGGAGGATCAGAGTCAGAAGCAGAGACTGATAGATGACAGAAGCAGAGGTTGGAGTAATGTGAGGAAGGGGCCATAAGCCAAGAAATCTAGGTAGCCTCCAGGAGCTGGAAAAGATAAGGAAAGGGATTTTCCCTTAAAGTCTTCAGAAGAAACCAGCCCTGTAGACCTATTTTAGAATTCTGACCACCCAAACTGCAAGACAATAACTTGTGTTGGCTTAAGCCACTAAGTTGGTGGTAATTTGTTATAGCAGCCACAAGAAACTCATACATGTAGTCAACGTTTGCCCTGATTCTGCTTTAATGTGACCTTGGTCACCTCAGCCTTGTCCTTTGTTATATGTGGTTTGGGTCTTATTTTTAGCATAACTCCCCAAAACACAAGTGCTCCTGAGCATGACATAAAAGGCCCTGCATGATCTGGCTCCTCCCTGGCACCTGTCTCCTTTTCACCTCTCTCTTATCCTAGGACAGGGTCTTGGGGGGAAACAGGAATACACAGGTGTGCAATGTGAGCTTTCTTTTCCACCTTTCCCATGAGATATTCAATGAAGTCTAGATTTCTCACTAATAAGCCCATGTGGATTCTTTTGAGATATCCAGAGGGGCTCTGAAGTCTGTATCCATGTTGACCTTAGTGTCATGTGTCATTTGCCATCACGGGGCCATGTATGGCAGCCATGATAGCAGACTGTGTGACACAGGACTTGGAAGAAAGGTAGGTGACACCCAGGTTAACAATACACGAGACATTGTGGTTTGGCTGTTGTTGATACAGCTCACAGTTCCCTCCTCCACCATATACACCTATGTCAGTCTGCATTCTCGTAGATGGGAGCTTATGTCTTGCAAGGTGGAGGGTACTGGGTGGGGGAAGGGCATGGTTAGGAAAACAAAAGATCTAAAGATCCAAGGGGTTGTCTGGTCTCTGTCTGGATTGCATCCTCAAAGGAGAGGGGGTGTTATAGGCAAACCCCAATGGAACCATTTAAGAGTGATTCTGAAACTCTAGTCACAGCAGAACCAGCCTCTTAAGCAGCTGTGGCTTCCTCTCCTACTATCCTACAACCTCTTCTCAACAACACACCAGGAGGAATCTTCCAAAAATGCAAATCAGGTGGGGTTCCTTCCCTGTTTACTACTCTCCAATGCTTCAATTAAACTTGGAGTGAAATCCAAGCTCCGTGTCATGGCCTGCCCTTACCTACCTCTCTGACTTCATCTCCTACCAGCTCTTATCTGTCCCTGTGCTCAGGCTACACTAGCCTTCTCTGTTCCCGAGTTTTCCAGCTCCTTCATGTCTTAGGGCTTTGGTTCCTGCTCCTCCCTTTCCCTGGAAAATTCTCTTCTCCAGATCTTGACATCTTGGTTATTTCACATAATTTGGGTCTCAGCTCAAACATCACTTTCTCAGTGAGGCTGTCCTTGAATGTATAGCTCAGGTTGAGTTCCCTACAACCAGACAAGAAGACAGACTTGGTGACTTATTTGCAAGGTGATCTTAAGTGAGGGAGTCACGACAGAGATGGGAATGTTGGCAGGGTGTGTTACTGAGTTGGTTACTTCTTCAGGAAACTGAGGATCGGTTCCACTGGAGACCTCTGAGATATCATGGAGAACATGCCTCAGAATTGTCCTGCAAAGAGATGGATAAGTTGGCGTATTTATCCACTGGCTATTGCCCTCCTTGGTTAAAGGTTGGCCTGGGGACAGTCAATCTCTATGTGTGGCTGGGGCACACTCCTACGGCACCAGAAAACGCCCTCAGAAGGAGAGATGGAGAGAGGCATGTGGGACAATGTTTGTGTGCCTGGTAGTTGACCATTGCAGTTGCTAGTGAAGTCAAAGGTGGGCCAAGAAGATGTGGGGTGGGGCTTCAACAGTGTCTTCTATGCCATCCTATCTAGTGCTTCTCTACCCTGGCAGTCTTATTTTCATTATATTTCTTATATTTATCTAAAATTTTCTTATTTATTCAGCTACCCATTTGTTAATTGTTTATTCTTCATACCCCAAACTAGAACATCAGCTACACAAGAGCAGGGACCTATTAGTCTTATTCACCATTCTTTCCCCAGGTCTGAGAACAGTGCCTGGCACAAAGTAGAGCATCAGTAAATATTAGTTGAATGGATGAATGAATGAATGAATGAATGAATAAATGAAAGTGCTGATACATGACCTTGGTACAAAAGCATGGTCCTGGTTCAGTAGGAAATTGACTCCAGGTCGCCATGTGGATGATGGACATAAACAAGTAGAAGGCAGAGACAGAGAGAAAAAGGTAACTGATACCCACATATGATAACAGTTAATATGCTGTTTTATGGGTAGATGTGAGGTATCTTTGAGGGACACTCTAGAATTATTGGGGACTACACCTATTGGGACTACCAGGTGTTTGGGAACTTTTAAGCCAGCAGTCATCATATTAGTAAGATTACCAATGTTTGTACAAACACTTCCTCTTTTAATAAATTAAAGTAGGTTCAAGGTTACCCCTATAGTGACATCATTCTCACAGACTTTCAATACAATCTACTTTCTTGAATGGGAGGGAAGAGGCTGAATTTACAGCATGCATTTATTTGCTCAGCAGGCATGCAAAGCATGATCCACTTTATCTGTGTGGCAGAACAGCAGTGTGCTGAATGCAGTTGGAATTCCTTCTCTTCCATTTGCTTGGTGACTTTGCGCAAACAACAATACCTATTTGAACCTCAGTTTCTTCTTTATTCATCTGCATGTTGAGAGTGAGAACAACTACCCGGTAGGGTTATTGTGAGGATTCAATAGGATAACATCAGTAGCACTTAGTAGTGTGTCCTAAATGTAGGCATCAGTCCCTAGATAATGATCATTCTCCATACTACTACTGATGATGATGATGATGATGATGATGATGATGATGATGATGGTAAAGGCTTATATTGTTCAGGAGGGCAATGTGCTCAGGCTCTGGACTATATCCAGGATAAGTAATAGTTGCCTTTGGAATCACAGCACATTAGCACCATAAGGGAACTTAATGTCCTTAGACAGTGATATTAAGACAAAGAATAGTCATTGTCCTAGTGGCTGGCATTTACTGAGGGTATACCTCCAAAATGTTCCATCCCATTGGCCCAATTAAATCTACTGCAAAGTGGCTGCAACAGGATGTCTTAGTCTGGTTCTATCGAACTAATTCCCTTCACTCATATACTTCTAAGACACTTGGCTAAACAGCCACCTGAGTATGCTATGGCTTCCCATGTGTTTCTGGTTTCAGAGGATGGGCTAGACATGAAGATTCCAGGATTTTTATCATTTCAGTGGATTTTCTCATTATGAATTAATAGATTGGAGTTCTTTTATTTTTATTTTTAATTTTTTAATGTTTATTTTTGAGACAGAGAGAGAGAGAGAGAGAGAGAGAGAGCGAGAGCGATCATGATTAGGGGAGGGTCAGAGAGAGAGAGAGGGAAACACAAAATCCGAAGCAGGCTCCAGGGTCTGAGCTGTCAGCATAGAGCCCGACACAGGGCTTGAACTCATGAACCGTGAGATGGTGACCTGAGCCGAAGCTGGATGCTAAAGCGACTGAGCCACCCAGATGCCCCAATAGATTGGCATTATGACTGCAATTAAATTTCCTACATATTTTGATGGAAGAAGATGAACTGATGATGTCTTCAAGGGTGTTCCGATCTAAGTGTTAACTATATGGTTCTCATTTCAGTTTTATACAATAATGCTGTGAGTCTGGTTAACATGTTAACCCACACCTAAATAGTGTATTTGTTTAGGGTTTGCTGATAAGTTCTGCAGAACCTGGTTCTGAGAATCAGGAGATTCTGGTACCTCCTGACCCACATAAACTGTGATGTAATAAGGTGTTGTGTTAAGCTGATAAATGTGTGGTAATTTGTTAGGCAGCACAGAAACTAATACAGACCTCAAAGCCTTCCTCATCTTGCCTGTACCTCCACACCAGTCACATTTCTTGCCACTTTTATTATGTTTCAGTTTCTTCCATGAATCTCTCTCAAGATGCGTATTCAAGTACCTGGAGTTCTCTCTCCTCTTCACCTGAAACAATCACCCTCATCCTATGTGTCACCACAAACACCACTTTCGACGATGGTCTCTTCTGATGTCCTGCACAAGGTATGTCACCTAATGTGTGGTCCCAGAGCCCTCTGTGCTGTTCTCTTCATAATATTCATCACAGTTGTAATTACTCGTTAACCAGGTCTATTCCTTGCTGGCCTTTTGAGTTCTGTAAGAGCAGGAATTGCATCGGCCTTATCCACCTTGCTATCCCTAGTGCCTACCGAGGCACATAGTAGGTGATCAATAAATATCTGTGCAGTAGAAGAATGAATGCAACATCATGCAGGGTGAGGGTCTTGGATTAAGAGGTTTCCACAGACTTCCTGTCTGACCTCTGCTGCCCCTAGTGGTGTGATCTGAGGTCTCTGGCCATTAATGCTGTGGATGACATTTGGGGGATTAAGAGTCACATCCCTGTACCCACCTGTACGAGGACACCTTGAAAAGGTCACTTCCTGTTTCTGGAGCCTACTGCTCCACAATCTATAAATCTAGGATGAGGCTGCCAGCCACAGTTTCTGGGGAAGTTGATAGAGGACAAGTGAGGTAATGCCCAGGAAGTTCTCAGCAAGATACAGCTTCATAAAAGCCTATGGTCAGGCTTTTAGATTCAGGACACAACCCAGGCACTTGGCTTGGCCAGCAGTGATGTAAAGGCCAGTGGTGAGGTAACTGCCAAGGCTGGGAGATCTCGCCAGTGAATGCCATGGCGCTCTGCTCCCCAGCCCTTCAGCTGAGCATCTGTCTTTATGTCTAAAGTAGGTGCAGGATCAAGGCCAGGCTTGACTAGACGATGGAGGCTTGTGGGCTAAATTCCCCATACTTAACGATAAAGCCCTTTACAAGACTTCCAGATGTTTCTAAATATATTCCTGAGATACAAATAACCAGAAGCAGCAGTAACATGAAGTGGAAGCCACAGGATGTGATATTTAGGACTAGAGGCTCTGAAGGCAGACCACCTATGTTTGAAAACCAGCTCTAGTGCTTAACTGGCTGTTAATTAATAACCTCTCCAGGCCTCAGTTTTTTCCTGTGTAAAATGGGAACCAATTATGATGGCTTCGTGTGATATTTTGAGGGGACTGCTGTAGAAGAACCACACAAAGAGCTTAACATAGTGCCTGGTGCAGAGAAAATGCTTCATACATTGTACCTGTTAGGGTTATTGTTGTTTTGTTTTAATCAGAAGAGCTGCAAGAACTTTCCACTTGCTTAACACTAACGACAAACTTGTGTTTAGGACGCACTTCCAAGCACATGATCTTATTCTCTCATTAGACAGCAGGGCAGGGACCTGATCTGAGACCAGCTCCTGTCTCTTGCTCAAGCTTCATCCCCAGCACCTAGGACAGTGTCTGACACACTGCAGGCTTCTGACAACCATGTGTTGAACCAATGGGTCTAATGAGATCTATATAGGAACTCTCAGGCATAAGTTGTTATTCATGTCATTTGCTAATAAGGAAATGGAGAGATCTGCCCACAGCCACCATCATTGTGAAGTCAGATTCCAACCTTCCTGACTGCAAATCCAACTCTCTTTCCACCACCTTCTGCTTCCTGGTGACTCCTCCCATTCACTTAGCTCAGTAAGATGATGCAGGTAGCAGAAAGGAGTGGCAGGAACATGGGCTCTGGAGCCAGAGAGCAGGTTCAAATCCTAGCTCTACTGCTTCCCAGCTCCATGATCACAGATGAGTCACTAAGTCTTTCTGTGCTTCATCATCTTATTGGTAAAGTGGGGGTTAACAGTGTCTATACATCATATGAGGTAGATCTTATTGCCCAATTTACAGATGGGGATGTTTCACACAGGTGGGCCTAATCACTCATATTTATGATAAGGAACCACCTATCTTTATGATAAAGACCCTAAGTTTCTTTTTTTTAATTTAATTTTTTATTTTTTTTAAATTTACATCCAGATTAGTTAGCATATAGTACAACAATGATTTCAGGAGTAGATTCCTTAGCACCCCTTACCCATTTAGCCCAATCAAAAAGAATGAAACCTTGCCATTTGCAACTACATGGATGGAACTGGAGGGTATTATGCTAAGTGAAATTAGTCAGTCAGAGAAAGACAAAAATCATATGACTTCACTCATATGAGGACTTTAAGAGACAAAACAGATGAACATAAGGGAAGGGAAACAAAAATAATATAAACACAGGGAGGGGGACAAAACAGAAGAGAGTCATAAATATGGAGAAAAGACCCTAAGTTTCTCAAAGGTGGGGACCACGTCTCTCTCTCTCTCTCTCTCTCTTTCTTTCTTTCTTTCTCTTTTTTTTTAAGTTTTATTTTTATTTATTTTGATAGAGATATAGAGGGCAAGTGGGGGAGGGGCAGAATACCAAGGGAGGGAGACAGAATATCAAGCAGGCTCCATGTTGTCAGCACAGAGCCCAATGTGGGGCTCGATATGTCCATTTATTTCACCAAACCTTCCTAGAACCGATAAATGGCAACTATATTTATCGGGCATCGGCTAGGTGTCAGTAAAGTGCTGGGGATTTTACCTATGCTGTTCCATTTAATCTGGATATCAACTCTATGAAGCTGTTCCATAAGTCTTATTTTCCACATTGGACAAAAACAAGACAAAACAAAATCCTGAGGTTCTGAGGTTAAGAAAATTGTCCAAGCCTTCATGGCTGGTAAGTGATTCAGACTCAGGGCAGTTAAACTTCTGAGGCTGTGCCTTGTCCTCACGTCACAATGCCTTTAAATGGAATCAATCCCTTTACATGGTGGCAGAAAATAGGGGGTGAGATCGATGGAAGGAAGTGGTCCCCAGATTTCCAGCTCTTTGGAAGGCCATATCAAAGACCACTGAAGGAAGTGTGATTGATGGTGGCCACAACAGTTAGCGCATCAACAGAACTTTAACTTGCCTGACCAGGATATGTCAAGGGGTGGGGCGGAAAGAGGGCAGCCATATTACACAATTATGATGACGCACAGACCTTTCTTGGGCCTAAAAGACTTCCCAAGTCCCGAGGGGAATAGCATGAATACCTCATTGTACCCATGAAGGAGGAACTAACAAAGACTTCTTATCTTCCAGCTTCTTATGCCAGAATCAGAATTATCTCTGACATTCTGGGCCTTCGTGAGTTCTCCTTTGGCTGTCTGGGCATAGGGGAGCAGTTCCTTGTAGATGGCTTTTGGTTGCTATTCACTGCTGAACATGGTCAGTGCCTGCTGGAGCTCCACCTTTGCCATATCTGTGATCTTCTTGAAGGCAACAGCCTTATATTCTTCATCTCTGTGTTCCTTCATCTGGCACAGGGTTTGGTGTAGATTTCAAACTCACAGAATGCTGAGCCAAAGCCCAAGAGTTTGGCTAAATACAAATGGCCAAAGCCCATGGATGTTCTTACGGTCTTCAACCTGGGCATCTCAGACTGGTCCAGCCAGGCTGCTGGACAACAAGAGCTGGAGGTTAGTTTTAAGGTAGTGGGCTATGGCTTTCCTGGAGACACTCTGGACATGGAGGGACACTACAGGAGCACATGGCCAAGCCTAGTCAAAGCCTGGTTGAGAGAACAGAAATGTACAGTGTGGAGACCAAAAACTGACAATTAGTCTAAAGGGCCAGAAGCCAGGATTGAGTTGAGCAAAGCACCAAGACTCCAGAAATGTCATTTGAATGAGAAAGGTCCAAAAGTAAATGTAGATTCTCTAGGGTTATTGCTGCCATGGTCTGTGGGTGTATACAGAGTGGCTGAATCTGCTGCCTTAAAGGGCCTGAGCGAGGTGAATAGATATAATCCCTTGTCTGGTGTCTCAATGTCAACAACTTGGGGGCATCTTTTCACATAGGAGCAATCTAAAAAATCCCTGAGCCTTGATTAGGCCAGTGAATGGTGTATAGTGGATATATATATGTAAGATATATTTTGGGGAGTGTTTGTAGCCTATGGACCAAAAACTTCTCCCTCCCCACCATCTTGACTGTCCACCTTTATCTCCAGAAGCAGGAAATAGGTGGGGAGAGGGGAAGGGCAGCTGCTGTTATACACAATATATTCCCAGCTATTCCAGCTTTCATACATATGACCAGGGGCAGGCACTGACCCAAGCTCAACCAAATCAATACTCTAGACACTTGGAATTGGTAGAGGGAGGGAGGGAGAAAGGGAGAGAGAGAGAGAGAGAGAGAGAGAGAGAGAGAGAGAGAGGGAGAGAGACTGACAGACAAACAGACAATTATTGTATGAGGCTGGCCTTGCAAGGGCAGGCATGCTTCATGCTGCATGGATCTGAGAAGCAGAGGAAGCCCATCTTCAAGGTAGAAGAACGATACAGCAAATGCACAGAGCAGGGATGAGACCAGAGGTGAGAATGTTGCCTGACTCTAGACCATTTCTGAACTTATTGTTGTCTCTGGATTCCATGAGATATTCCCTATGTGTCTTAGCCTAAATCTCTGACTAAGCATGCTTCCTTACATTGGTTTCTGTGTTTTCTTATCCAAGAGTCCCACCTAATACTCCATGCATCCCCTCCGTGGTCTTTGACTCAAAGTTGCACTCAAAGTTGACTCTCAGGCTAGATAGGGTCTTTCGTATTTATTCCACGTTCATTCTAATGTGTTTGCTTGTTCTGAAAGAATCAGGAAAAGCTAAAACTATATCCATAGACATCTTTTTGAGCTAGAGTCTAAGTGTGGTTTAGGTCTCCCTGATTATGTGCACCTGTACAAGATTTGCGAGGCAGAAGCAGGGGAAGGCCACATTCCTGTATCTTTCTGTGGAAGCATTCACAGAGGACTCTGGTTCTGGTTACTTGTTTTGTATGTGCTGAAGGATAGGACATCAAGGCATCTGCGTTCTTAAGGCTCAGGCATCAGATGAAGTAGGTTCAAGTCCCAACTCTGCCACTTAAAAGCTGTGAGATGGGCAAGTGCCCTCTCTCTGTGCCCTGACCCAAAACCTGACCCAATTTTTTAACCAGAAAAATGAGGATAACGATGGTATCTATGCCATATAATTGTTACATAAGTTAGCTTGAGATAATGAATATAAAGTCCTTTAAGGAAGGGACTGGCACAAAGTAAATCCTCAATTAATGCTAGCTGTTATTATGATTACTACAATTAGTAGTTCAAACCCATAATGTCACAGTGGGAAGCAAAATAATTTGTGTAAATCACCTAGCACAGGCTGGTACCTTCCCATCTCCTTTTTAGCTTCTCTCCATATCTAGCCCTGGAAGTTCTGATTAGCTAAATGGGGCCCTGTCTTATTCCCAACATAGTTGCTAATGATCAGAAAAAGGCCAGATCCTGAAGTGTCACCATCAGCTGACTCCTCTGCTGCCTCCCACGCTGGCTCGTGAATCATGGTCAGCAGACTCTAGCAGCCAGAAGGGTCACTGGGTCCCCCAGCCCACTGGTGAGTAGGGGCTGCAAACATTTTCATCGCCATTATGAGCTAATAGCTGGGTCTCCGACTCATGTCTAAGGCCTCATACTGCTCCAGCCTGCATCCTCATCTTGGTTTTCTGAAACAGCCGAGAGCTGCAGTTGGCTGACCTGAGGGCAGGGAATGGGACCAAGATGTGCAGAGGTGGCCCAGAGGAAGGGAGGATGGAGAAAAAGGGCTCCTGGCCTGCAAGTCCTATTTGGAGGATGGAACAGGGGCCATACCTGTCAGGGTCTCTGAGAATTGGACTTAGAACTCATCTAGCCCAACTGTTTAAAGTTTTTTGTTATTTTAGTTTTAAAATCTACTTTGCTGAAGTACAATTTAAGTGTGAAAGAAGCATTGATTTTAAGTATTCAGGTCTGGGAGTGTCCACAAACGGATCCATCCATGTGACTATTCTCACAATCAGAATATAGAACACTTCCATGGTCCCCAAATTCCATTGTGCCCCTTTTACAGTGAGACCCCATATTAGTCAGGATTCTCCAGGGAAACAGAACCAGTAGGATATATACAGATAGACATAAAAGGAAATTCATCATAGGAACTGACTCATGCAGTTATGGAGGCAATAACTCTCATAACCTTCCATCTGTAAACTGGAGACCTAGGACAGCCAGTGGTGTAATTTAACCCAAGTCCAAGGGCTTGAGAACATGGGGAGCTGATGGTATAAGTCCCCATCCGATTCTGGATGTCCAAGAGCCAGGAGCGCCAAAGGAGGAGGGCAGGAGAAGAAGGATATCCCAGCTCAGGTAAAGAGAACAAATTCCCCCTTCCTCTGCCTTTTTGTGGGATCTTGCTCACTTAGTCTACCAATTCGAATGCTAATGTCTTCTGGAAAGATCCTCACAGACACACTCTGAAGGAGTGTTTTATCAGCTATCTGGGCATCCCTTGGCCCAGTCAAGTTGACACAAAGCATTAATCATCACAGACCGCATACTCCAGGCCTTAAGCACTTACCTGGTTTTTCTGCCACTGTAGATTAGGCTAGTCTTTTCTAGAGTTTCATAAAAATACAATTAGTTTGTACTTTTGCATCTGACTTCTTTTGCTCAGGCTAGTTTTAGAAATTCATTTATATTGTTGCTTGTATCAATAGTTAATTCTCTTTTGTTGCTGAATAGTATTCTGTAGTATAGAATACCTCCCCCCCCATTCTAATAATATTTCCCAACATTATTGGATACTTATAAAACAATACATGCTAATAACTTGTACAGAATGCTAATAATTTGTACAGATTTTCTTCCCAAATTCCCACAACAATCTTATAAGTACTATTAGTATGCTCTTTTCATGGATAGGAAAACTGAGGCTCAAGAGAGATCATGTAATTGCCTCCAAACACAGTGTAAAAGTTGGAACAAATATTTGAATCAGGGCAGTCTGATTCTAGAATCTATGTCTTGAGAATCATGCTCTACTATCTCCCATTTTACAGATAGAGAAACAGAGGCAGGAATGGAAGCAATTTGGTCAGCATCATGCTGCAAGTCAGAAGCAGAGTATTTAATATTTTGGGAACCCAAGGGCCCAGATTTCCAGCATACCATGTAGCCTCCTTTGAAAGAGGCTCAAAGACCCAGCCAGTCCCTTTCTTACTTGCTTGAAGCCTGTGCATTCTTTAATGCCAAACTCAAACATGTACTGATTACCAGATTAGGGCCAGGCAATGTGCTAGGCCCTGGTCACATCATTACGCAAGCAGACATAGCTCTCTGGAAATAAATCAATGGATCCAAAAAAACAGCTAAAGAAGCATAGGAAGAGAATTGCAAACAACAGTTCAGGGTTTATGTGTATGCTAAATTTAACACATTCAATGATGTTACAGACCCAAAAAGAGCTCCAGACCCAACTGATATTTTTATAGAGCAATCATTATAGGTCAGCCCCACCCTATATATTGTTATATTCATCACCCAGAACAATCTCTTGAGGTAGGTACTCTTAGTATTTTCCATTTTGCCAAAGAGGAAACTAAGGAATAGTGGGGCTAAGTACCGCGACTGAGTAAAGCCCTTTGAATCTTTTCTATACATGGTCTCATTGTTCCCAAATCGTCCTTGAAATGGGGTGAGGAAACAACCTATTCTAACCCACCTAAATAATATGGCAGAGATGCTATTAACCATCAAATACCCCAGTGCTTCCCCACATTTCCCATCCTCTCCTGAAGCCAGGCTTGGGCCCTTGGACCAGTTCTGGCCAATAGACTATGCGCAGAGGGTTTGGGACATCACTTCCAGGTGGAAACAGTTAAGAGCTGAGGTACCTCCTCCATCTCTCCCTTCTTTCCTATTGTGGTGACTGTAGAGACTACCTGTTCTACATGGTGTAGTTACCAGATGGGGAGAACTGCCTGACCAACATCAGAGGTCACATGAGCCAGAAATTAGTCTTTATTGTGGTAAGCCACTGAGATTTCAAGAGTTAGTCTGTTGTAGGATTTGAGCATCAATTGTCCTAATACAGTAATGATAACCACAACTAATGCCATTTAATGTTTACTCTGCTCCAGGCACTGTGCACTAAGCACTCTACATCTGACAGTTCCTCAAATTTCTTACCTTTCTAGTTTATCTACATACTTAAGAGATACGCAGGCTCCAGTGGGCTCTGGATTTGTTAATGACCTATGAGCCAAAAAGACTTTCCCTTGGAGGCAGAATTCTCAGGCCTAAGCAATTCTTTTACCAGAGATAATACAAACATTTGAACAAGTCTGAAGAAAGTAGAACCCACACTTATTTCATCAAGGGGCAAGAAACACAGGGCTCACATGGGAAATAGAAATCGAAAGGCCTTTAAATGTACTGGATGGGAAAGAAAAGGGGCCCCAAGGAGACTTCTTCTCTCCCTCCCCATTAGTAAATGCAGGGTGCCAAAAGGAAGCTCTTGCTGCATGACAATGAATATGAAGAAAGTTCTTCCTGGAATCTGATCTCCTGTAAAAAACGAATCCCATCAGGTTATTCCGAATAGCTTGCTCCCAATTGCACTCAGGATGAAGTGTGATGTCCAGAGCCCCCAATTTAAGTTTATAGGTAGGCTTAGGCTTTGGAAGAGGGAACATGTAAGCTAGTATTAATAAGTGAATAAGAGGTTGTTAGCCAGAGACATGAAGGACAGAACGTTCCATAAAGAACAGTAGGCAAGGCATGGGGTTATTTAGAGGGCTTGGCATGTTTAGAGACTGTCAGAAAGCTCAGTGTGGCTGGAGCATAAGGTATGACAGAGGCAGAGCTGGAGTCTTAGGTGGTGGCTGCACTGTTGGGGGAGGCTGAACCTGGTCTGGTGCAGCCTGTAACCTTGAAGGTGAATGGGTCCAATCCTAGGGTCAGTTAGGAGCCTGCTCACCTGCACATACAAGCCCAACCTTCTGGCCATTGTCAGAGTAGTAAAGGTGATATTTTCATTGCTATCTGCTCATTCTTTTTCCTTATTCCTTCATTACTTCTGAATTTTGTCAGAAAAGAGGGGTGTTACTTTTTGTGTCCCTTCAGAGACCCCAAAATAGGTACCGCTTCCCACTCCATATCACAGATGAAGAAACCAAGGCTCAGAGCATTGAAGTCATTTGGATCTGGTGACAGCTAGGACTCACAGCCACCTGGTACACGCAGGTATGGCTGTACTAACTGTTACATTATTTAGGTATTTCTGTAGTGGTTATTAATTAGCTACCACTCTGACTACCTCCTCTTCACTCCCATCCTGTGGTTCAAAAGCTAAAACGATACCATTAGGCACAGCAGGGGCTTTCTGCCTTCTCTATAAAGCTATAGTTGACTGGTGAATTCCTGGGCCATGCCAGCTGTTGAATATTTTGAGTTACATCAGCCTGGTTACATGGCTGATGGACACCAATGGCAGAGTCTGAACCCCCATCCAACTGTTTCTAATGCCTGTACTCTTTCCCACTATAAGCTGCTTCATACCCAGACATGGGAAAACAGTCCTGCCACCCCTGCACATGCCAGGTCACCACAGGGACTAGGGTTCAGCTTTGGAAGACAGACTTGCGAAGGACAGGAAAGACCTGGAATTTGTCCAGAAGAGAGTGACAGGGTTGAAGGGAGACTTGAAACGACATCATATAAAGAAAGGAATGCAGAACTGGGGATGTCAACTTGGAGAAGAGAAGATTTACAGGAACCTGGAGGACTATCTTCATATATTTGAAGGGCAGCTGTGTGAAGAGAGATGGAATTTGCACCAATTGGTGGACTTAACAACCAATTCAGCCCTCATGTGATCACTGGGTAAGTAGTTTCCAGGTACCTCTTCTTTGCAGGTGTTAAATTAGGTCTGGGAACTGGGGGGTACGATGTTGAAAATACATTTAATTTAATTTAATTTTTTAATGTTCATTTGTATTAGAGAGAAACAGTGTGTGAGCAGGGGAGGGGCAGACAAAGACAGAGACAGGATCTGAAGCAGGCTCCAGGCTCTGAGCTGTCAGCACAGAGCCCGACGCAGGGCTCGAACTCACAAGCCGTGAAATCATGACCTGAGCCGAAGTTGGACATCCAACTGACTGAGCCACCCAGGTGCCCCAACGATGTTGAAAGTAATTAAGAGGTTGCCACTAATGGAGGAGACAGACAAGTAAACAGAAGTGTTGGAGAAATTTGGAGAATGGAGCTCGGAAACCCTGAAGCCCATTGGGAGACCTGGCAAGGCTCTTGGAGGAGACAGGTTTTGATCAGAGTCAGGGAATGTGTAGGAGGCTGTCAGTCAGAGAATGGAAGAGAGAGGGAATAGCACATTCAAAGTAATGGAGCCAGAAAACAGTGCAACATTTACAATGAGACCAGGACTGTGGCTGGAATATAAGGCTTGTGGGATAGAGGTGCAGCTGGAGACAATGTGAGGGGGTCTGAGGAGTAAGGACACAGTCCCAAGGGGAATGAGGAAAGGGCAGGTTGTGACAAATTATTGTCATTGAAAGCACTCAAGGGCCAATGGGAGGGTGGCTTTGAAGGAAGGTTAGCAAACACAACCCAGTAACCAAAGTGGTCACATGTGATGGCCTTGATAATCCACTACAACCTTGGGCTTTTCTGAGAACTAAAGATAACAGTCCTGGGAGGGGCAGCAAAGGATGGAAGGAGAAGGTTTGGACCCACTATGGTGGTTCTGTAGATAAATGTTCCCATTCTGGCTTCCGCTAATTTTATTTCCATGTGGCTGAGAACAAGGGAGAGTCTAGTCTTTATTCTGGGAATCAAGAATAGGTTCCAAATGTCTTTCACTGGGGAGGAGGGGCATGGAGAAGAGGTGACAATGACAGGCTGGTACATACATGGTAACTGTTCTCAGCATTTTATGTTGGTTAGCTCATTCAGCCCCCACACTGCAACTGTGCCTATTTTACAGATGAGGAAACTGAGGCAGAGGGAGGTTATGCAACTTGCAGAAAGTGCCAGAGCTTGGATTCAAACCCAAGGGTTCTAACTCTAGAGCTCAGTTCTTAAGTACTGTACCACAATAGTGTGAGTTCTGCCCTTGTGGGACAGGCTTCTATTTTTTATTATTAAACAGAACTCTCAGCATTAGTACTGACCTTTATTTGCCCACAGATAAATAAGCAGGAGATGGAATTCACTTTATGGGTGGATTTCTCACAGGGTCTCTTTAGGGAACATCCTCTCTAAGGTATGTTATTTTTATTTTATTTATTTAATTACAATTTTTTTATTAAGTTTATTTTTGGGGAGAGAGAAAGAGGGAGCGAGAGAGAGAGAACACATGTGGGGGAGGGGCAGAGAGAGAGGGAGAGAGGGAGGGAGGGAGGGAGAGAGAGAAAGAGAGAGAGAGAATACCAAGCAGGCTCCACACTGTCAGCACAGAGACGATGCGGGGTTTGAATTCACAAACCGTGAGATCATGACCTGAGCTGAAACCAAGAGTCAGAAACTTAACCGACTGAGCTATCCAGGTGTCCCCTCCAAGGTTTGTAATAACCAGATGATAGCAGTGACCCAAGCCAAGGGTTCCAAACTCTTACTTGATAAATATGATAAAGCAAATATGAAATTAGTTTTTTAAGCCACATAATTATCTTGCTAGTTTAAAACTTCCCATTTTACCAGATAGGAAGTTAAAGCTCTAGGCACCTGACCACACAGCCCACAATGGCTCCTATGCCTCAGCTTGCACTCTCATGGGATCTTCCAGAAACTTTCAGAAAAGCAGTGCACAGAAAGGGCAAAAGACCTGGTCAAAGCAAACTGTCTAGCTAGCTCAGCAGTGAAGGAAAGGGAGAAAGGTCAGGGGGAATGGGAAGTGATGTGATAATCATCACCATGGAAGCTGTTTGAAGGTGTTTGAATGCTACTCTTGGACCAAGCAGAGATATGTTCTATGCCACTTTACAGATAAGGACACAGAGGCTCGGAGAAGAAAAGCAAGCCACTGAAGGTTGCCCAGTGAGGAAACAGGTGAGCTGGGATTAGAATGTAGCTCTACCTGATTTCAAAGCCCATTTCATCTCTTTGGGTTGATTTTCTCATCTGCAAACTGAGCAGTCTACATTATTGACAACTCTCCCACAATGCATAGTGTGCTTTAAGATATTCCATCTACTCATGACATTAACAGCAACACTAACCACAAAAACAGCTAGCAATGAAAAGTTACCAGGTGTCTGGAATTGATCTAAGCATTTTACAAGTATTAGCTCCATTAATCCTCACAAAGGCCCTGTGAAGTATGATAACTTCCATTTATAGAGGAGGAATCAGAGACATTAAGTAACTTACCTAAAGTAACATCGAACTGCCTATTAAATAATAATGAGTAACTGCAAGTCAATAAAACCTTTTGGGTTAATCAAAGACTTCTACAATCATCTATCAGTTGATCAATATGAGATAATCAGTATTTTTTTTTTTTTTTTTTGAGAGAGAGAAAGACAGAGGGAAGGGGCACAAGTGAGCAAGGGGCAGAGAGACAGAGAATCCCAGAAGGGACAGAGAGAGGAGGAGAGAGAGAAGCATGGCTCACCCAGAGTGGAGCTCGTGTTCGCCTGAAGCAGGGCTCATGTTCACCTGAAGTGGGGCTCGTGCTCACCCAGAGTGGGGCTCGTGCTCACCTGATGTGGGGTTCGAACTCATGAACAATGAGATCGTGACCTGAGCTGAAGTCAGATGCTTAAAGACTGAGCCACCCAGGCCCCTGAGATGATCAGTATTTTTAAGGCTATTTTAGTGACCCCCTGCATGAGTATAAAGGTATGACTCACATGTGGCTTTGGGAAATATAGGAAATTGCTGATGGATTCCTATGGGCTGATGGAGGGTGTTGGGTGGGTGGGGCCCATGTTGGAAGTCACAGGGTCTAATGCTTAATATGCCAGCTCTGTTTTGGAAAAATCTCATCAGCAGTACAATCGTTGGCTGGCCTCTGCAGACAACACTGAGCTATCCTGGTGCCCCAAGCCAGCTAGTAGCCTGGATCCCCTTCTCACTGGGGGCAGAACACACAGGGAAGCATGACTGAAGGCAGAGGAGAGGGAGGGAGTGTTAGGGAAAGAGAGGGACGGAACAGAGAAGCTGATGGCTAAGCCAGCTGTTGTTGGTTGTTGCCAACCTGTTTGGAAAGATGTAAACCTCATGCATTCCACGAATTTCACCAAAGTCTTCATGTGTCTGAAAATAAGAGCTGCGCAGATCAACCACTATCCCGCCTCAGGCAGACAGAGGGCTTTCAGCATCCCTGGGTCGCAGGTGACAAGTCTTCAGCTACCTCCTCACCACAGATACCAATTGACACAGGTGAACTTGAATGCCCAGCTGGTCTGTCAACCTTTCCCACCTCTGCCCTGCTCCTTCCCTCTTGGACTCCAAGCTACCTGAGGCACCCCTGGGTGTGTGTGGGAGGCAGTGAGTTGGTCTTCCTGGGGTCCAAGCCTCTCCTTTGGGGCCCATTTCCTACTAGGTGGTATCCAGGGGCAGCAGGTATCATAAAAAAACCAGTTCTGAGGTCCGACATACCCAGATTGGAATCCTGACTCACCAGCTGGAATCTTGAATTGTGTGGTTGTGAGCACCCCCAGTTGTGTGATCTTGAGCAAATGAAGACTAGGATATACTTTGCCAGTGTGGCGAAGGGATTATTAATGAGGTGACCCACTTGGGGTCCTCCCAGGCCACTCCCTCTCTTCTGTGCAAACCAGCTGTCAGAGAGTGGCTTGTCCATCACTCCCCTACCCTCAAAAGTTAGGGACCAGCGAAGTCCAGATGCTATGTCCTTTCATTGTAATAGAGAACAAGCAAGTCTATGAACATGTTTATCAGAAGTTTAAGCAAATCTCTCCCTCTTTGGGGTCTCATCTTTTCCTTCTAAATGTGGAAATGGGTAGCTGCTTCCTGAAATCCTTCTGAGTTTGAGACTACGAGCACTCCCAGCAGTGCCCCCCCCCACCAAACTAAACTGTAATAGCAAAGTCACCAATGGAAGTCATTGCTCTTTGACAGCTGTTCCATTCTTTCCATGTCTACTTAGTGAATGCCTAGCACTTTGTACTCAGGACTGTGCTAGGTACCGAGGGAGCTAAAATGCCATGTAATAACAGCTCAAACAGACCCCTGATTCATAGAGGGCTTACTGGGTGCCTGCTGTGCTAAGCTCTTCATCTATTTAATCTTCAGAATCCAATCCTGCTGTCACTATGCCCATTTTATAGGTTCCGTCATTGCCCAGGCACATGACTAAGAAGTAGAGAAGGTCAAATCCCAGCCTGGATCTAGCTGACCCTAAAGTCCACGGTTTCACCCAATACTCTGTGGTGAGTGCCTCCCTTTCAGCACCGTCACCAAGAAGTGATGGCTCCTTGTGTCAGCGAGGAAACAAGGTGTCAGCAGACAACAGTCTGAGGACTAACGATAGCAATGGGAATAGCAGTGACAATGATGGTGTGGCTATTGCCTGTGCTGCAGCAAGGAGGTCTGGCAGGAGACTGCTGGGCCATACAGATCAACAAAGGGCTGGAGGGAGCAGACAGCGGGATTGCAGTGGGACTTGGGCTTGTCCAGGAGGACTTTCTGGAAGGTGGAGGAAGGGACTGGTGTGCTCCCAGTGCCCAGTCCCTGCCACACTCTGTGCTAAGTATTTTAGAGAAGTGACTGCTATGGTCGCTCTATGAGGGAAGAAACTTGGTTCCCATCAGATGGGTAAGGAATTAAGAGCCAGAAAAGGACAGTGTGAGGACCCAGGATTGGAACCAGTTAAGTGGGGATAAGAGCGAGACAGAGAAGTACTTCCTCTAAACCCTGAGCTCCCAGCACCCAGCTCCTCATCCAGAGCAGATAGACAGCATGGACTTTGCTTTTTCACTAATCCTGACTCCAGTTTCCCCATCCAAACCCTCCGTTCCCCTTGCTTAGGCTGGCTGTGAAGTCACTGCCTATTCCTGCAAACTGCTGCACATCTGGAGGGGTGGACTCCACCCTTCCTCAAACCACAAGTTCGAGGGAGGGACTGTCACTGACTGATGCCTCCTGTTTGTCTCTTCTCTGAAACTTCTCCTTCCTTTCTTGCCAAGAGAATGTGCAGCTTTGGGCAGGGGCTTTGTCAGATTTCTCAGCAGCATCTCCTCCCACTGGCCCAGGAACTGGAGGCTGGGAACCCAGAGAGGTCTGCAAGAGTCAGCTGCTGTGCAGCCCTGGGCTAGTCAGAGCAAAGCTACGTGGTGCCTCTGAGTACCTGCATAGCCTTCTTGCACAGGGGAAGGGGCAAGGAGGGGAGAAAGGAGAGACAGAGACAGAGACAGAGACAGACAGACAGACACAGACAGACATACACGCATCGGAGAGACAGAGCAGAGAGAGAGGGAAAGAAAGAGAGAGAAACAGACACCACAGAGAGAAAATAGAGACAGAGTAGGGATGGAGAGAGTAGGGGAGAAAGGCAGAGAGGAAGACAGAGATAGAGACAGGGCAGACAAGGGGAAAGAGAGAAACAGAGAAGGGAAGGAGAAGAGAATAGGGGAGAAAGAGACAGAGACAGAGAGCGAGACAGAGAAGTACTGGAGAGAAAGACTCCGAGAGACATAGAGAGAAGGACAGTGAGCTTGGAGAGAGAGACCAGGATGACAGAGCCAGGGCCAAAAGGCAGAAAGGATAGAACCTGTCCAGAGACGACACTCAGCTGCATGCCAACCAGTAATTTCTGCTTCTAGAAGGCAATGTCATAAAAGAAGAAGAGAAAAGAGAAGAGGGCAAGGAAATAGTTACATACTTTTAGTAATAAAATGGACTTAGAAGTCAAATCATGATGTTGACTAAGGGCTCCCTAACTTCTGAAATCAATTTCCCAGCCCCAGAATCACATTTTAGGGATTGTCGTCTAGCCTCAGTTTCCTTATCTGTAAAATATGTTAAACGATAGTGGCTTCACATGGAAGGTTGAGACGCATATGGTAGGCTGTGTAAACTGTAAAGTGCTGTGGAAAGACAATGGGCAGAAGAAAAGGAAGCTCTAAGAATCCCCCTCTGGGTTTTTTTTTCAAAACCAGGTGGTGTCCTTTTCCAGGGAGCTGATCTGATTGGAAATGGGTGCTCAAGAGACACTGATCTTCACATAAAAGGTGCCTAATGTGTCCCATAGACCTACCTGGGTGACCTGAGAAAGCCACTCAGCTCTCTGGGCCTCTTAAGAACGACAGCTGAATGAAAGAACATTTTAAAGCTTCTTCTGGCTTAGAGTGTTGACAAATCTGTGACCACCAAGGTGAGGAGGCACTGGTAACGTGAAGGCTTCACTTGTGACCTGGTGGGGGTTGAGCTCCTGTCGGATGCTCCCCCTCCCTCCAGGAAGCCTTCTCTGGTTCTCCCATATCATGCGCAGTGCCTTCCTCTGGGCTTCTGGACACAGTGCTACCCTATCCTATTGTCTTCATCTGTGATGTGACTGTTTCCCCACTAGACTATGAGCTTCTGAGGGCAGAGACCATCTTGCTCTACCACTGGGTCCTCAGTGCCCAGGGCCTGGCACAGAGCAGACACTCCATGGATGCTTGTGGATATGAATGAGACTCAACTGCCAGCCCACATTCCTTCCCATTAGGCCAGACATTTTCAAGGAGGAAGGGCTGGGGCCAGGCTTAGCTGCCGGAGGCTTTGGAAGCAACCTTTGGACAATTTGTGCTGTGCTCTGAATCCTTTCTGGGAGCCAACTGAGATTCCAGGGTAGCTGAGAGCCAGAAAGGGTGGGAGGTAGACTTCCTGGCTGGGGAGAGCCTGGGTGCGGTGGGGGACAAGAAAGAAAAGCCGTCTTAACACAATAGCTAACATTTCTCCAGCATTTTACGCTTTACATAATATTTCCACATCCACTATTTTGTTTAAACCTCACGGGAATCCTAAGGCTAAGTAGGGCAGGTTCTAATACCACTGTTTCTCTTTTTTGGATGAGTAGAACAAGGATGAGAGGTGAGGTGGCTTGCTGGAGGCCACAGAGCCAGATCTGAAGTTGAATCTTTGGACTTTGAATCCAGTCTTCTTCTAAGACCAAGATAAAGGTGGGGGGTGATATCTGAGAGAAGTCTAGATTACTGCTCTGGTTCATTGTGGCTTAATGAATTGTTCAGTTTTTCTTAACCCACGTGTACTAAAAAGTGGTTGTAAGTGGGACTGTCATTGATGGAACCTTGTTAAAGTGCTTTGTTCAAAGTATATTATTCATGTTATCTCATTTAACCCGACTGTGACCCTATGAGATAGGTCCTACTTCTAACCTCATTCTACAGATGATGGAAGTGAAGCTCAGAATGAATGAAGAACCAAATGAAGACCAGACAGCCAGTGAGTAGCCTATATTTGAACCCAAGAACTTAGATTCTAGAGCCTGAGCTCTTAATCACCCACCATACTGCTAAGATCTAATCCTCAGCACCTAACGAGGAATCATGCAGTAAGTAGCTTCCTGCAGGAGCCATTGTCAGAGGAGAGGCATGGTGCTGGCTCTGTTTCCCCAGACGTGGAAACTGACAGTCCTGGACCTGCCCTGACTACTGATCCTTGTGATTCTTCCTGGGGCCTGGCCAGGGTGAGGGTATAGCGGCCACAGTTTGCAGAGCTCGGACAGCCCCAAGCTAACAGGCACAAGGAAGAAGCAAACTGAAGCCTTTCTCTCAACAACTTGTGCCCATCACTAGGAGTCAACCAGCCTGGACACTGCCTTGCATGCTGTGCGTTGTGGCATAGGGGAAAGAGCTTAATGTTGAAGTCAAATCTGGGTTCCAATCCATCTCTTAAACTTAGCAGCTGGATGAGCTTGGGCAAGGTGGGTAAACTTATGGACCCTTGGTTTCCCATTCGTAAAAATGATAATATGAGTCTCATAATATGGAGACCAAACACAGCAAACCACCTGAGGTGTGTTAAGGCGGTAGCCTGCACACAGTGGACACTCAATAATTCTTTATTCAAGAGAGGGTGGCCCAGGAGAAAGAGCATGGGGCTTGGGGTTAGACAGCTCTGGTTTCAAATGCTCGTTCTTCCAGTGATAAGCTGTGTAACCTTGGGTAGATGACATCTTCTCTGAGCTTCAGTTTTCTCATCAATAAAAGAAGGATGACAGCAACTACCTTCAGAGGGATTGCTGTGAAACAGTAACTGGGGTACAATCAGAGTTCAATGAAGAGCATCTAACACCAACAGTAATAAGGTTGATTCTCCCTTTTCCATTCTTTGGAGTGGGAAATGAGTGTATCTCTTCATTCACTCACTGATTCATGCATCCAACATTTAGGAATCTACACTATAGCTCCTGGGCTTATTCCCGGGGATACCAAAATGAGCTCTGAGGGTTTCCCTACTTTGAGGAGAAGACTGACTGCCATGTAGATATAATCATGATACAACTTGGAAGGTGCTTAGACTGAACTATGTGCCAAGTGCCCATGCCAAGCAAGGAACAGAACAGCTGTAGGCAAGCAGACCCATGCCTTATTCTCCACCAGCACAGAGGCTTAGATGTCATGGAGCCACCTCAGATTGAACATCAGCAGCCCCTGCTCTTTGGCTCAGATGCTCCCCAGGAATACTCATAGCCCCTGTCTCCCTTGGCCTCCCTGAGCCATTCCATGGGATTGTTCTGGCTTAGTGGATGACCAGAATTCTATTAGGATGACACTCTTGGGTTCCCTTTCCTGAGCTTCCATGCACTGTGGTTTATTGAAACCTCTGGAACATTTTGTACCCTCCCCCTAATTCCCTCTCCAAATACCTATCCCTGCTTATCTCTCTTGGACTGTGTCACTTTGGCATTACGTAAAGATCCTTGCTTTGCAATACTATAGGCCTAACCACCATCCTAGCCTCTCTCTGGAAAATGATAAACATTAATTTGGTAGGGTTTCAAATTTGGCTGGAGACAGACAAAAAGTGACTGGTCCCAGGTCAAACTTGGGATGTTGAGCTTTTCTTGAGGGTAGCTAGTCAGGGCCAAATAGGCATCTATTTGTTTTTGTTTTTGAGAGAGGGGGAGAAAGAGAGAGAGAGAGAGAGAGAGAGGCAGAGGAAGGGGGAGAGAGAATCCTAAGCAGGCTCTACATCCAGCACAGAGCCCGAAGCACTGGGGGTTTGGAGCAGTGGAAGGGTGAACCCACATATTTTAAATTTACATCCAGGTTGGTTAGCACATAGTGCAATAATGATTTCAGGGGTAGATTCCTTAATGCCCCTTACCCATTTAGCCCATCCCCCCTCCCACAACCCCTCCAGTAACCCCCTTTTGTCCTCCAAAATTTAGAGTCTCTTATGTTTTGTCCCCCTCCCTGTTTGTATATTATTTTTGCTTCCCTTCCTTTGTGTTCATCTGAGGGTGAACCCACATTTTGTAGTGCCATTCTGCTCTGCTGAGAATACACTGAAAGTTGGCAAGGGCAGAAGCAGGAAAACCAGTTAGAAGGGGACTGCAATAGCCAAGTGAGAGATGGTAGGATTCTGGATTCCGGATAGATTTTGACAGTAAGGATTATAGATTTCCTGATGGATTGATTAAGAGGGAGAAGGGGTAGTGAGGGAGGGAATACTCAAGGAAGACCCTAAGGTTTGAGGTTGAAAACAGAGCTTCCCAAGTTAAATGGGAGAAGGCTGAGGGGAGGCAAATTTGGGGGAAAGACCAGAGTTCAGTTTTGACATGTGAAATTGAATCACTGTTGGATGTCCTGAGGAGATGTCTAATGCATAGCAGTCTTGGATACATGAGTCTGGAACTCATTTAGAATCATGATACTGAGTGAGGTTGACAAAGGAATAGATGCGTGGGTTCAGGTAGAGAAAAGGGGTCAGCACTGAGTCCTGACAGACCCCAGACCCCAGACAGCGTGAATGAAAGAGTAGAGGAGACTGAGAAGGAAAAGCCAGGGAGGCAAGTGTCCAAAAGACACATCTGATGAAGGACTGCTATCCCAAACACAGAACTCTTAAAACTCAATAGTAAGAAGAGAGACAACCTGATTAAAAAATGGACCAAAGACCTGAACAGACACTTTTCCAAAAAAGATAGACAGATGGCAAATTAACATGTAAAAAGATGCTCAACACTATATGTCATCAAGGAAATGCAAATTAAAACAACAATGAAATACCATTACACACTTCTTAGAATGGTTGAAATCTGGAATGCTGACACCACCAAATGCTGACAAGGATGTGGAGCTACAGGAACTCTCACAAATTGCTAGCAGGAATGCAGAATGGTACAGCCACTTTGGAAGACACTTTGGTGACTACTTACAAAAGTAAACATAGTCTTACCATATGATTCAGCAACCATGCTCCTTGGTATTAACCCAAAGGAGTTGAAAACTTAGGTTTACTCCAAAACCTGCACAGATTGCAGCTTTATCTATAACTGCCAAAACTTAGAAGCAATCAAGATCTCCCTCAGGAGGTGAACGGATAAATAAATTGTGATACATACAGACAATGGAATATTATTCAGTGCTAAAAAGAAATGAACTATCAAGCCATGAAAAGATGAGGAACCTTAAATGCATATTACTAAGTGAAAGAAGCCAGTCTGAAAAAGCGATATACAGAATGATTCTGACTATATGATATTCTGGGAAAGGCAAAACTATGGAGCTACTACTACCACCACCACCGTCACTGTTACTACTACTACTACCACCACCACTACTGCTACTACTACTACCACCAAAATCACCTCTACTACTACTACTACCACCACCGTCACTGCTACTACTACCACCACCAACATCACTGCTGCTACTACTACTACTACTACTACTACTACTACCACCACCATTACTGCTGTTGCTGCTGCTGCTACTACTACCATTGCTGCTGTCTCTACTACTACTACCCCTATCCCTGCTCCTGCTGCTACTACGGCTGGTGCTACTACTTACTACTACTACTACCACCACCACCACCACCACCACTACTGCTACTACTACTACCACCACCATCACTGCTACTACTACTACTACCACCACCACCACCACCACCATTACTGCTGTGGCTGCCTCTTCTACTATTTCAAATACTACTACTACTATTACTACTACCTGTCTTTTTACTGAGTGCTTGCCATGTGTTAGCTCTCCACTATCTCTTCCCAGTATTTCATTGTCTCACTTAATCCTCACGGCAACCTTCAGAAGTGCTCTATTATTCCTAGCTTACACACAGCCAAGCAGTCAGTACCGTTGCCTAATAATTTATATTCCTTCTGGAGTCCTGATTCCATTGTCAATCTCTTCTGCATCTAGAACAGGGTCTGAGACAGAGATGACACAGGCATGGCTGATGTGCCAGGGGCAGTGGATGCTGTAGGAAGTGCACGAGCTGGCTTTGCTGACAGAGGGGTAGAGGGGGGAGCAGAGATATGAAGGGAGGTGAGCCAAAGCCCCAGGACTCAAGGGAGAAGTTGCGAACTCTGGGGAAAGTCATGGCCTTCCCCGGAATTAGGGCTGTTTAAGCCCTGAACAACACGGATTTCCTTATGGTGGTGGTGAGCCTAGTCCCAGAACCTCCAGCTGAGGCCAACAGGAGCCTCTGGACCCCTGAGTAAGACATGCTATAGGGGGCAGCACTGCCCTGCTCCATCTCAGCCTAAGCCCTCCCTTCTGCAAAGCAAACCAAACATTAGAGCCAGGCAGGGTCAATAGGTCAGAGTGCATGGAAGGGTCAAAGGTTATGGGTCCTGCCGGTGTGTGACATTCAAGTCAGGCAGCAGGACCAACCCCAGGGGTTAGTATTTGATCACATCCAGAAATTCCCAATCCCTGAGTCAGGCTGTCTCCAGAGGAGCTTCTGGAAGACCCTGACCACCCTGTGACAATGAATCATGGAGAGCTTCCCAGGGGAAGGGTCTTGGGAAGGGTTGGCTCCACTTCAGGGAGGGCCTCAGGCACAATCAGACTCCCCAACAGGGGCTTATGACTAGTGACCCTGGGGCCCATCAGATCCTCCATTGCCCCTACTGCTTACCAAAAAAGTCTGGATCACTGGCATCCAAGGTCCTCACCACCTTACCATTCTTATCTACAACCTTATGCTCTATGACCCCAACTTCAAAGACATCTTTATTCTTGAACATCTATTTTATGCCAGACACTTCACAGGCATTATGTTCTTCATCCATTCAGCAAACACAGACTGAGGGATCATCCTGGTCCAGGCATTGTTCTAGGCCTTGGGCAAACAAGAGCGACACGGAGCCTGTCTTCATGGACACTCTGATAAGGAATCATCCCCGTTTTACAGGTGAGAAACTGAGGCTCACAGAGGTGTTGGGCTGCAGAGCAGTGACTTGAACACAGACACGCCTAACTCCAACACAGTTCTTTCCATCCCTATATTTTTCTGTAGCCACCTGAAGCTCCTAGACCGTGGTGGTGAGCCATACCTCCAGGGCTTTGCATGAGCAGCTCCCTCTGCCTGGAATGGCCTCCTCACCTCTTCTCTAACCAGCTGATCCCCTTTTGTTCCTCCAGGCTTTTCTCAACTTCACCTCCTTCTCTTCCTCACCACCTCAACACCCCCACCTCCCTGGGCTGGCAGAAGTGCCCCTCCTACTCCCAGATACCTCAGGTCCATATCCTTGCCTGGAGTTGCTCATGGCCTTCTTTGATTGTTGGTCTCTACTGAAAGGTGGGCCCCTGTGAGCACCATTGTCTCCTCAGGTCTGAGTCACCAATGTCCAATGTGATTTGGGTCAGAGGATCAGGGCCTGTCGGTTCAACCTCCCCTTTGTCCTGAGATGCTTCCCCAGGGCATGGCATAGTTGGAAAACCAGTCCCCTGGAAGAAAGTTTTGGTGCCTGTTGAAATAAAGTGGCTTCTGGAGGAGCTGGCTCGAATCACTCATACCTCCACAGGAACAAGTCTTCCAGAGCTGGCTTGGGTAAGGAGGAGCTCCTGTCTGAAGGTCTTGCTGCCAAGGATGCCCTCTAGGGAGCACTGTGGGAGAGGGGCTGTCTGGGGAAGGTGGCTGTGTTTCTTTCCCCTTCCATACACTTTAGTTTCCCCCCAGTCCCAGATGGCCAACTGAGCCATCCTCTGCTGCCACACACCTCCTGCCATGTGAAGATTCCAGCTCTGACCAAACAAGGTTCTTCTATATCTGGCCTGTCTCAGCTCTTCCACATGAGTCTCCCTTCCCCCTTTGCATCTACATTATACATTCCAGCAAGTTCTCAAACATTCTCTGAGCATACAATACAGTTTTACACCTCGATGCCTTGCACCTTGAACATTGGCTAAAAGGGAGGTGAGAGTCTCCATTTCTTATCGGCCAACCCCTTGTCCAGAATCTCCAGGCTGAGAAACTACTTTCCTCTGCTTTTCCCAGTGGGTGAGGTCTTGAATCAGGGCCAGAGGGACTCCAGAAATTCTCCCTATCTTACTCACTTTTCTCCCCATTGACCCCACAGCTGGCCAGAGAGGGAAGTGGAAACTCCCTAGTGTGGGGGGACTTCTAACCTTTGCTCTCTGTGCAGGGACAAGATGGAGACTCAGCACAATTCCACTCCCTTCCCTTCCCAGCCCTATCCTGGGATGGGAGGGACAGAAGAACAGTGCAGGGGGCAGAGGTTGGGAACTGGTCTGGGGAGGCTGAGGAAGGTGTGGAGGTTGGAGCAAGGGAACTGACATCTAACATTTACAGAGAACTACTGAGCTCCAGCACCCATTGCAGATTTTATTTGTTACCACCCTAACTGTCATCTTAACCCCCAAAAGGTAAGACCATTCTAATTCCCATTTTACTGAGACTAAAGCTAAGAGAGAAATAAAATACCACAGGTCATTTTGGCATTTCCCAAAGGTGGCATATCCAGGTTCAAACCTGGTAGATGTCTTATCACTTCCACCCCACCTCTGCCCTCAGACCCACTGTACTGATGCACTCTTCCAGAAGCATAAGGAACATTGAGAGCCCTCAAAGACTGATCCTGGAGCCATGGAATGTTATACCACAAGATACCTTCATCCTGGTTCAAAGTACTCCCTCTATCATGTAGGAACAAAGGCCAGGGAGGTTTTGGTTGGTTTCATTTTCAGGAACTAGCAGAACCAAGATTCAGGTTCATGTCTTTTGACACCAATCTCTGCCCTTTCCATTCAGTTATATACATTAACAACAGACAGCTTTCAAGGCCAGGTAATCATGCCCAAGTCTACTCCAAGTTCTGGAAGCACAGCTGCCATTCTGTCCTTGATGGAATGATGGAGTGACAGAGTGGCAAGGAAGGGCTCATGGCCCTTCTGTTGCAGGTAGTAACCCTTCTCTCACTGTAGCATGCCACCCCCACCTTCTCAGACCCATGCTGTTTCTTTAACAAATGTTGTGTAATGCCCTTTTACTATGTGGAAATGAAATTCCTGGTTAACCTACATGCACAATAAAAAAAAAAATTAATAGGGTGCCCTAAATATAATATGAGAAATCAAGGAGAAATAATTCCTAATAAAAATTAAATAAAAATAATTTATAATAAAATAACATGTTTCCATTTATAAACACTCTCCTGTGACTACACTGGAAGACATAATGAAATAGTCTGATGCTTGCATTTATGCATAAAATAGCCATGATCTTAACATCTACAGATGTGGACTGATTTGGATGTTTCATTAGCAACTCAAAGGCCAGGAGTGGGGTTGCCATTGGTGATATGATTTGTTGAAACAACTCTTGGTAAGATTCCAACAACACAAAGTGAAGTCTGCCCTGAATTTACATGGTGGTTGCATTTGCAGGGGAGCATATATTAAAACTGCTCCCTGTTGAAATGCTTTGTGTGCAAAATAATGTGGAGTTCAGTCCTAGGCTTAGATTATTATAAATGGGTTTTCATCTGTGTGGTGTCTGGTGGGATAGTCAATGGCCCTGTGGGGTACAGGACTGTCCCAGGCACATCCCTGCACCCTCCCAGTAAGGGCCAACCCAAAGTTTCCAAACTGCATCCTGAGGGACAGTACTGCCCCCGTGGAGAACCAATGATCATATTTTTAAGGTTTACTCAAAGATTATATCCCAACCTCTTAATATCTTTCTAAGGTATTCAAGCCCTGGAGTTAGCTGTGGCATCTGGATGGAAAAGGCTGCAAGCAAAAGAAGGCAGAAAGATCCAGAATCAGTTAGGAATCCAGGTTACACTGCTTGCTGCTGTGTTTCCAGGTCTATCTGGTACATACTGGCTGATCAATAAATATCTGTGCAATGAAATTATTAGCTGTGTGACTTTGGGAAAATTTTTTAACTTTCCTCAATGCCCTCACAGTGAAATGCTGGTCATACTGTGGGGCTTCAGTTTGAGAAGATTAAATGAACAAAGAGGGGAAAACCTGGAGATGTGCAGAATGAGCTCAACAACAATTAGTTGACAATAAAAATCAAAGTCCTGCTATGATCTGGCTGGGATGAAATTCTGGATCATGGAAAAGGTAACAGATGACTGTTTTCAAATCAGCATCTGACTAGACTACTTGACCTTTTGGATAGGTGGTTCCTTTCAACCTTGAGACTCAGCAATTCTGAGGCTCTTGTCTAGACAGAGGCGGTGGTGAGGAGCCACGTTGCCACCCACACTTGCCCACCACAGGCCAGTGCCTTGCACATCCCCGAGGCCCTCCAAACATTCCAGGAGAGTGAGCTCCCTCCATTCTACTCCTCCACCCTGTTGTTCAGGTGAAGGAGAGAAGCAAACATTTACTGAGCACATCCTACATACCAGAAGTTGTATTTTCCCCTAAGTTATGCCATTAGATCTTAAGTTGGGATGAGGTGGGGAGCAATGTCCCACGCACGAGGGACCGGGGCTCAGAGATGGTGAGTGACTTGCCCCGCGTCTTAGAGTGAGTGTGGGGTGGTGCCTCCTTGAGTTGGCTTTCCTTCTATCACAGTGGGGCAGCTTGACAGAGGCTCATGTAGAGCTCCGTGGATATGTCCACCCAGCCTGCCCACTTCCCACTACCCAGCTCCTGGGATTTACCAGGCACAGAGTGGGGTTCCTCTGCTCCCCACCACTGGTTCAGAGGCACAGAGTTAAGATGGACTGGGAGAGAAGATGGGGAACATGTCAGAAGGCCTTGAATGCCAGGGATATTGGGGATGGACTGGGACTAAGGCAATGAAAGATCTCAAGCAGGGCAAAAGATTCTCAGTGAGATGCTCTAATTAGACTCTATCCACCAGTGATGAACCAGGAGACTTCAAAACTGGTCAGGTGGCTGCGAGGGTTCTCCTTGAGTGTTTCTCTCAATCTCTCACCTCCCTACTCTTTCATTCCAGCAGGAACTCTGGGAGCTCCCAGGGGACAGGGAGGCCCAGCCAGTTCTCCCATCCAGAGTATGGCGGCTCTGCCAGCCTCTAGACAGTGGGGTCCACTGACTCTCTGTCTTCAATTCCTACTTTGACTTTGCACACAAGGTGCTATGTGTCCCAGGGTCAGCTGCTGCTCTCCTGGCCCTGGTCTCCATGGCAGCAAGATGATGCGCTTAGACTAATGGATTATCAAGAGCTCTCCTTTTATCTTTATGGGGGTGAGGCGTCCAGAGAAGTAACAAAACATGAGCTAGAGTCTAGGGGTGGATGGTGGAAGCCACGTGCACCAGAAGAGGCGGTGACCCCCAAAGGAAAGGCAGCACATTCACAGAATATCAGGCCCTAGGGGCAGTTCACTCCTGGTTCTTCTCCTATGTTGGTGGGGGACAGAGGACAAGAGCAAGGTCAGGCCATCCAGAGGCCTTGGGATGTAGCCAGTTTGCCCTTGAGGGTTGGCATCATTTTTGAGCACTGCTGAGAGGGGCTGGACAAGTTCTTCTCTGGTGGGGGTGCCTCAGAACCCCTAGGATGAAGTCTAGTCCCAGAGAGGCTAGGTCCTACAGATTCCTTTGATGATGACAGATGCTTTGTTTTTTTGGAGAACCAACAGAATTCCTTTTGAGCAAGATTTCCTTCCTCCATTTATTTATTTACTCTTTGCCTAGTGATTCAGCAAAACAACCTCAAAACCAGTCTCCATTGGGAGGCAGGAAGAACCAAACCTTCAAATATCAGTGATCCTGTGAGGTTTTTGCCTTGTGGAACTTTTCTTAAAATAACTGCATCAGGAGATTGTCCAGGGAGGGGTGGTGGAGGAAGGAGACCTGAAGGCAGAGTCCTGGGGGCTCCTGAAGGACTCAGGTAACTGGAGTGAGGACTCTCAACAGCTGCCCATCCCTTTTCTCCACAGCAAGGGCTTATCATTGGTTTCTCCCACCTTGCAGATTCTAGAGGGGGCCATCTTCCTGAAGAAGGAATGGGTTGGGGTCTGAACTCTACAGTGTAAGATAAGTGACTTGAGTGATAGGCACTACGGTTATAGCAGTGGAATATGAATTGGAACCTTCTTGCCTGTGTCTGTATGTTCTTCACCCATGCTATAATATCCTAATTCTTGATGCAATGCTTTGGTTCTCTTAATTCAGTGGGAAAAACAAAAAAGTCTTTAATGCATCTAAATTGGAATCAGGCCAACAAGATAAAAGGTTGTGGAGGAAATAGTGCCAGACTGGAAATTCAGAAGATGTGGGTTCTATTTCAGCTTTGGTTTATTAAGCCATGGGACCTTGTGTAGGTCACTTCCCGAAGGACACAGAAATGCCCGAGGTCAGGGAAACCTGGTGTTTGTAAGCAGGAAGTCTGGGTAGATCTGAGAACAGAGGTGCTGATGGGCAGAGCAAGGTGGGGTGGAAGTCCTTGCCGAAGAGTCACTCAGACTTGAGTCTCATCTCTCCACTACTGGCTGCATGATCTAGGGCAAGTCAACTCTGTGCCTCTGAGCCTCAGCTTTCCCATCTTTAAAATGGGGGAAAATAGGGGCACATGGGTGGCTTAGTCGGTTAAGCGTCCGGCTTGGGCTCAGGTCATGATCAAGTCTCACATTGGGCTCTGTGCTGACAGCTTGGAGCCTGGAGCCTGCTTCAGATTCTGTGTCTCCTTCTCTCTCTGCTCCTCCCCCACTCATGCTCTGTCTCTCTTGCTCTTTCAAAAATAAATAAACATTAAAAGAAATAAAACAAAATGGGGGGAAATAGCCATCTCAACGGCTGTTGTGATAACCGGAAGTGAGAGAATGCACAAGGAAGTGCTTCATAAATGGGAAAGCATGGGAAAAATATAAGGTATCATTACTCTAAGTACTTAGGAGGAAGACGGGGTGCCTGGGTGGCTCAGGCGGTTGAGCGTCTGACTTCAGCTCATGTCATGATCTTGCGGTCTGTGAATTCGAGCCCCATGTCCGGCTCTGTGCTGACAGCTCAGAGCCTGGAGCCTGCTTCAGATTCTGTGTCTCCCTCTGTCTCTCTGCTCCTCCCCTGCTCATGCTCTCTCTCTCTCTCTCTCTCTCTCTCTCTCTCTCTCTCTGTGTGTCAAAAATAAACATTAAAATTTTTTTAATACTTAGGAGGAAGAAATATTAGTCCTCAGAGAGCCCAAATTTAAATAATAGCAGCTACTATAACAAGTATTATTATGGAGGGTTTACTCTCTGCCACCCTGAGTGCAAATGTATAAACTAATTTAAGTATATAAACTCAATCTTTTTTTTTTAAGTATATCACATACACAGCAAATTGATAAAGTGCTCTCATCTTAAGAGTACTGCTTAATGAATTTGTACATTTGTATATATCATGTGAACTCACTGAATCCTCACTAAGAGCCTTACACTGCTTATTCCCATTTTACAGATATGGAAACTGGGGCACACTGAGATGCAAACACTGCATGCTGATAGCCACATGGTACTGCCTCAGGGATCTAGTCCATCAAGAGAGTGGCTGGAGAGTGGCTGGGAGACTGAGACGTTCCCAAGAGGCCATTGGAAGATTCTGGCTCAGGGGGAATTTAGTATTCACCTGCCCAGGTGAGGAGAGCCCAGGGTCTGAAACAGAGGGCAAGGAAATGAATGCAGCTGAAAGTGGGAGGCAGAACAAGTCTTAGGAAAGCAAGTTCAAGCAGTAGGAGCAGTTCAAGCAGTAGAAGCAATGATTTGAAGCAAGGGGATAGTGGCTGCTGATGGCCAGGGAGGGTTTTGGATGACTGATAGCTCTAAAATTTGATGTAGAAAATCCAGTTCTTGGGGCACCTGGGAGGCTCAGTCGGTTGAGTGTCTGACTTCAGCTCAGGTCATGATTTCATGGTTTGTGAATTTGAGCCCCACGTTGGGCTCTGTGCTGACAGCTCGGAGCTTGGAGTCTGTTTCAGATTCTGTGTCTCCCTCTCTCCCTGCCCCTCCCCTGCTCACTCTGTCTCTCTCTCTCTAAAAAATAAACATTAAAAATTTAAAAAAAAAAAAAAGAAAATCCAGTTCTTGATCAACTGTTCTGGTGAAGTGGCAGAGACATAGATCAAGTTCAGAAATGGAATTTGTCCCTTTCTAAGTGGGCATGGTCCCCCCAGCTGGGACCCTGAGCAGGTGGCACTCATTTTCCTGGGGACAGCACCGCTTCCCAGAGCTTCCATTACACCCTCAGTAAAGAGGCAGGCCAAGGCTGGGGTGAGAAAGAAAGTCTGGGAGGCACCCAATTGCCCCACCGCTGATGGTGATGGAGGAATTGGCGACCTGCCCCCAAGTGATAGGAAGTGAACAGAACCACAGCAGAAGGCAGCTTGGTGCCCGAAAGAGCTCTGAGCTGGAGGGCAGGAGGCCCTGGTTCAAGTCCTGCTCCCACCTCTGGCTTCACAGAACATGGTACTCATGTCCAATCCTGGGGAAGTGGCATCTCCTCTCTGGGCTGTGGATCCCCCCACTGTGGAATTAGAGCCATGAAGAAGATAACATCTGTGGCTTACACTTTAAAATTCCATGAATGTCTATGTCATGAGTGGAGAACCTGGTGAGACTCTGAACATGGTGACTCCAGGGGGCCCAGGTTCACCTGCTGCATGAATACTGAATGGGCACTGGTGGTGGACGGAGCAATGGCAGGCATCCATCTGTCTGGCCTCATTCGCATTCCTGCTCCTTGGTCCTCTCTCTTAAAGGCTCTCTCTTAGAGGCTCTATAGAAGTCCTGAGCTCATGACTTCGATGAACATCATCTCCTTATTTGGGAGGCAGGAAGCTGCTCCCCACCCCCACCCTCTTCTGTCCACTCCCAGGACTCCCACTCCACGCCCCCCTATTCAGTTTCCTGCTTCCTGAGGGTCTTTCAGCTGGTGGGGGACCAGGACTACAATTGCTCTTCACTGATTCCAGAGCCAGCAAGAGAGCGTGGCTTGTGTGAGCCAGAGGTCCGGAATGAATATGCCGAGCAAAGGGGAAAGGCGGGGGCCAGGGTCACTTAGAACAAGTCAGTCCCAAGAACCTAAAATTAGCTCTGGGAACTGGAATGTTAGGGCTCCAAGGAACTGCAGCTGTGAAAAG